AAAAAAAAAAACGTATTGAGGGAGGGTGCAGGCTGTGGGCATTCCATTTGGGTCATTGGGTTCTTGGCATGATTTCCTGTGCTGTCATGCCCCCCAGCGTTGGCCAGGAGGGTCGGTCCGGTAGAAGACAGGTTGCGTTTGGAGATCTTCATGAACCCTTCGTATGATTGCTACTGTGCTTCAGGGACGCTGGACCTGGTTTCCAGCAGCTGCTGCTCCCCACCACCAATAGACTGGAAGACCAAACACAGCCTTGCAAGGAGGGGATGCCCGCATTGACGTCCACACCTGGCCTTCGGGGAAAGAAAAAAAAAAGAAGAAAAAGCAACATAGCTCAGCGCACTCAGTAAGTCGCCGACAGTTCACTCCTAGCTCTCGTCATTCTCCGCTTAATGTCCTCCTCTTGAACCGCCGCTACCCTTCAGAGGTGAAGGCTAAGTTGCGAATATAACCTTATAAGTTATAACGCATTGTTCCGGGGCCGGGCGCCACGGGACCAAAATGGCTGACGACTCGACGCCAGCTAAAACAAAAGAAAAAAGGTCGCGCTGGCGGTGCTTCGGCAAAGCTTGGCACACAGTATATAATCCGCCTCGGCAAAAGAAGCTGGGCTGTAGTAATGGTCTAACTCATGGACATTTCTTTTTTTTCTTTTTTTAAAGAAAGATGCATTTCATAGTAGAGGGTCACTCCTACGTATGTTATGTGACTCTCTCCTCTCACTCTCCTCTTCTCCCAAGAAGCACATTCATGTTTATACTTAAGACTAGAAATGCCGTATAGAAATATTAACCACATTCAGTGGGCGAAAACCTTAAACCGTAAACGCTAAACCATGATAACCGTCCGGACGTGTGGACCGGGTTCCAGACAGTCCGGTGTCCGGTGTCCAGTGTCGGGTCCCCATGTCCGGATGGAGGCCCCTGGGGCAAAAATCAAAAAAAAAAAATGGGGCGTCCCAGGACGTTTGTCGGGTCCTAGACACCCCTCAAAAAATAACGGGGTGATTTTTAAGTGTCCTTTAGAGGTCCAGACACAAGACACTACAGGTTTTTGACGTGGCGGGTTTCGCACAGGCCCGAGCAATTTCAAAGCGGCCGTTTCGACGTGGCCCCCGC